TTTTAATCTAAAAAAAAATTAAACGCAAATATACCATCTGTTTCTTTTCACGTGATTTGCATTTTGAACTGAAACCTTCGTCTCGCTTAATGCACTCAAATTTATTATCAATTGACTGCGCTCTACTATTCAACAGCCCAAATACAAAAGCAAGAGCGTCCCAGCTAACCGTAGCGGGCTCGAATAAAACCCCAAGTATCAGCTACTTGAATGTAAAAACGTAGCGATGCGGGCGAGCTAGCGGCGCGGTTGTAGCCAATTTACATTAAATGCGGTCTGCCCCCTCCAGTGATAGCTCATACTTACTAGAACCTACAAAGCCGGCAATAGACTTGATTATACTATCTCTGAAAAACGGGAGACATCATCATTTTAGTGCAAGTGATTGCAAAACCCTCTAAGAAAATTGCGATGAAATGAAGTAAAATAGCGTAAATCGACAAATTTGAGATATGCAAATACTCTTTTTGATGTGCATTTAACGTACTAAGAAAAGTCTAGAACAAATTAAATTTTTTGGTTATTACTTATTGACACTAATTTATTAAGATGTTTAAAAACTCAACTCTGTATTTAACAAATTAAAAATCAAAAATGATTAATCAGTCTGTGGCCGAAGTAGGAAAAGGGGAGATCTCCCGCCGGGCAAGGTGTTCTGCCCGGGGAGCAGCCAACACTCCATGTGATAGTTCAGAGATGTTCTATATATACTGTTCATGATTCGGAAATTTGATAGCTTGAAACAGGCTTCGGTGTGTTTCGCTTGCGGCGCGACTACAGCGCCACCACATCACCACTGCTCCATGCTCAGACCGGAGGTCGATAGTGCAGTCTCGTTGTCGACGAATGTGCAAGTGCGAGGAGATTGCCTTGTAGTCTGCGGTGAGTCGAGAAGAAGGCAAGTAATCTGCGTGAGTGCCGTGAAGCAGAGGCGAGCAGTAAATCTCAGAGCCGTGCCGAACACTGTATAGCGCAGAGAGTAGCTTGAAGGAACAGGGAGCATAATTATTCCAGTGCTGCTATGAACCTCGTGAAGCTAGATGGCTTTCAGAATATGAAGACTGCAGACGATATCGGCTCGGGAGCGAATGGGTGGGGTATTCTATGACGATGATGAAGCTTGAAGTTTCCGAAGGTTGTTGGTTGCGTTGTTCAGATCACGTCGGCGTCACCACTGTGGCCGTGGAAGGAAAAGGGAGATCTCCCGTCGGGCAAGGTGTTCTGCATGGGGAGCGGCCAACGCTCCATATGATAGTTCAGAGATGTTCTATATATACTGTTCATGATTCGGAAATTTGATAGCATAGGCTTCGGTGTGTTTCGCTTGCGGCGCGACCACAGCGCCACCACACAGTCCAAAACAAACTGCAGGGGAGAAATATTATTATCCTTTCTAATTTAATGGTGATTATTTTCAAAAATAATTTTATTGCGCCAATAGAATATACAGGTAGATCATTCATGTTCCGAATTGTGCGATGATTCGTACATCGTACGTAATACGTAAGTTATAATATACGAGAATAGTTGTGGTTAATTTACATCTGCCCAGAGATGATTAGAATAGAATAGAATATTTTTATTCAATATAGATTATAAGTAATTATATTTTATATATTTTTACATTTTTTATATTTATTTAATATTCTTTATTGCACACCGTACAAAAATTACAGATTATATACACAAAAGAAGAATGTAATGGGCGGTCTTATTGCTGATAGCAATTGCTTACAGACAAAAAATGTTACTGGTTCGGAAAAAAAAGTTCGGAAAAAGTACTTTTTTTTTTCAAGTTAAATTATTGAATACAAATACAGGTTGTACAAACTATTTACAAAACTTATGTAAGAAACAGCTTGGAAGCGACCTCCTCTTTGTTTACCCGTTTTGAATTAATTGCTGGCTCTGTAAAAACAGTATTCCATATAGGGCTGAACCTTTGCTTTGTAAATTTGTAAGCGAAAGTCGCTTTCGATCTAATGAGTAAACCAAGTTTTTAGAGGTTAGCTTAGCCTTATCTTCCAAATGACTGCAAAACTGTACGTCATCCGATATGGCTACATGGAAGATTCCGATGTTGATTATTTGACATCATTTAGAATGGTAGTCTTACTTAAGACAAGTAGATCAATTATCGAAAATCTGTAAATTCAGTTTCGTTTACCTATATTTCTTTTTGCGATTATCTCGAATACCATGGCACAAGGTATTCGAGATAATCGCAAAAATGAAAAAGAAACGGGAAAATAAAATAAACTGCAGATTTATTAATTTTACGTAAAAAAGGTCTTACTACTTTTTTAATGTTTTTAGCATCCAAACTTTTATAATTTTTTTTAATAAATTTTACACTGAAACATCCATGTTTTCCACTCCTGACATTGGTCTCCATCTATTAGTAAAATTTCATCACAATTAATTCAGCGATACAGAAGATAAACCCGAACAGACAAACACAATTTTTTTAATGAATATTGTGTAACTTATCAGCATGCAAATAACACCCTGAGCTCAGAAGAAGGCAGTTCTTTCGTTGTGTTACAAACAGAGATATCTCATCATAAATTAGCAACGAAAATGAATTAATATAAATACATAAACACTAACGACTGTCACCCAGAGGGGTAGACAGAGACTACGGACTTCCATTTGGCACGATCCTGACACACCTCTCTTACCTCCTTCACATCCATATATCTACGCATACATCTCGCACGTCTCTACGCGCACATCTACGCATACTCGTCGGTTAAAGGTGGAGTACCTTAGTGTAGTACCCTTATGTCGCCTCTACATGTTGGCCAACACAGTGGCGAATGTACTGGCGAATATATTGGCCGAGAGTTCGTGACGGCGTCCACACGTTGGAAGGTCGTTCAGTTTACTTCGGTTCGGGCCAATGTGCGGACGAATTTATAAGCACCGTGGCGCAGTGGGTCAGCAATAAGTGGCTGCGCCGGGCGCCGCGGGTTTGATCCCGCACGGAACAAGTATTTGTATGTCCTACAAATAATTGTTTCGGGTCTGGATGTGTGTCCTTTTGCAATTTATGTTTGTAAACTGCCTGCGCGATACGGGAGAAAATCCTAGTGTGGGGTTAACCCACACTAGGATTTTCGCGTTTTTATTAAAGAATTATAAAATAATAGTGGATATTAATGGGGCTGTAAATAGATATACGATATACGATTAGCTTTATTTATTCTTTACATGCATCATAAACTGGAATAAAATACCATTAATAAGAACTTAACTTATTTTAAAGTTAAAGGAGTTATAATCGATTAGTCTATGTTTTAAAATTGGGTTTTGATTTTAAAGTTTAGCAAAATACGTACTTCCATTTCTATCAGACATTTGATGTATATAAAAAACACCTTATAATTTATTTGGTAATTTATTATTTTTTGAGAAAGACAAAAACAATAGCAATAAATATAATTAGGGTTGATGAGGATTCCTCTTCCTCGTCCTCATAATGCGGAAGTTCCTCATTTTTAGCGATTCCTCATCCTCTTCCACATCCTCAAAATCAGGCATAAAATATTCCTCTTCCTCTTCCACATCCTCATTAATTAAGCAGAATTAATGAGGAAGTGTTGTTGACGTATTCAATGCAAATAAAAGTAATCACCGTCTTTTGCTCGCTGCATTAGGTACTTTCACGATCAGGCTTGAACGTGTTTTAGAAATATAACACAGCACGCTATTGTGTATGTCACTGTGTGTGTGTAGTAATGTAGTGTACGTACCCATCCCACTATAGCCACTTAGCCAGTCTTAAATTTGTTTTGTTTTTGAGTGGTCGTACACTCGTACGTAACTAGAACTACGTAAGTCGTAATTAGGTTTATTGTTAAGTTAAAAAGTTTATGAGATGAGGCCAAAATGTAGTGCTATATGGACGTATTTTAGTGAAGTGGACGCTGATACTGTTAGATGTAAAATATGTGACCAAAAATATTCAAGGAAAGGGCGCGGGACTTCGGGGTTAAGCAGTCATCTCAAGTCACGCCATGAAGTAGAATATGCCGAGTATGAACAAAAGGATACAGCATTAAAAAAAGCCGCGGTTGATAAACGCAAATTGTCGGAAGAGACTCCTCTTCAACAGGCTAAGAGACAAGTAACTTTACAGGAGGCATTACAAAGACATCAGTATTGAGATACATCTCACGAAAAAGGCTGCGAGCTGGATAATTTAACTTGCGAAATGTTAGCTCTTCAAGATTTACCATTTAATTTTGTTGAAGGATGGCTTTAGACGGTTAATTCATGCTGTTCAGCCAAAATATAATGTAAGAGGACGTCAAAATTACACATCTCATTTGTGTAATTATATTTATCCTAAATTAAGGAACAAGGTAAACGACTTAATTAAAGATTTGCAATACTTATCTTTCACCACTGATATATGGACTGAACCAAAAGCAGGAGTTTCGTTGCTGACTTTTATAATTCATGGTATCAACAATGACTTTCAAAGAGTATCTTTATTTCTTAAATGTGTCCCACTCGAGGAACGACATACGGGCGATGTGATAGCACTAAAGTTGGACGAAATACGAGAGGAATGGGAGATTCGCCGTAAAAAAAATACATATTATGATTCGCGATGGTGGTTCTAACATGAAAAGAGCGGCCCGCGTGTCACAGATTAACGCCATTAATTGCAATATACATCAATTGCAATTGTGCATACGTGCGGCCTCGGCGATTGATGAATATATTTCGTCCTTGTTGACAAAATGTAAGCAAATCGTGACACATTTTAACCACTCAATAATTGCCCAAAGCGAATTAAAAGGTTTTCAAGAACGTCTGGGTCTGCCTCTGCTTTCAGTTATTCAAGAGTGTCCTACAGATGGAATAGTATGTTTAATATTATTCAACGTCTAATTGAAATAAAGATGCACACAGAACTTTGCACCTCACAACATACAAATTTGCCGCAGTTTATTCCAAACGATTGGCTAAAACTTGAGAGCTGTGCAACAATGCTTAAGCCATTTGAAGAGGCCACCAAGACCATGAGTAGTTCCGAAGCCTGTATTTCATCCGTGATCCCTCTAATTCATGTCTTGACCTGCACATTGGAGAATCTATTGAGACAGAATATAAATAATACTGACCAAACTTGCGGAAATACTATTCAAAAATTGATAGAAGAAATTACCAATCGCTTTGGTGACCTTCATAATAATAAGATCTACACAATCGCTACTTATTTAGATCCAAAATATACAACTAAGTTTTTTAATGAAATCACTAAAGAAAGTATTGAGTCCGAACTGATTTCTTTATGTCAAGATAAAGAAGGCCATGGCGCACAACCACAACCACAAACACAGTCATTCGATCATGATGTTATTCAACACAATCAACACTTTCATCATACCGATAACGAGAGCCTACCATCAACGAGTTCTGGAGCTAACTTTTCTACAGGCAGATTTTTACAATCAATGTTATCTGATATGCTGGCCTCAGCTCCTAATAGTAACGATGAAGAAAATCCCATCGCACCCATCCGACAGATTTCTTATCCTGAAGTCAATAATAATTAATTATATTAAAGAGAAGAGAATAGGTCTTCAAGAAGACAGTCTTTTCTGGTGGAAAATGAACCCCAAATATTTTGAACTTTACAGACCTGTGCGCCAGTCTCTTTCAGCCCCTCCATCAAGTGTTCCCAGTGAGCACCTTTTCAGTGGCGCTGGATTAGTTTACGACGAATTACGAAACCATCTATCTGGAGAAACGGCTTCAAAGTTAATTTTCGTTAAATTCAACCTCCCTATTGTGAATTTTGACTATTAAATTGTCTTTTTTTCTTTCTAAATATTAAAGGGCCCATTCGCAATCTTACTTTTATTTAAAATTTCAATTCCAAATCACAGGTTCTATATTCCTCTTCCGCATCCTCTTCCTCATAACCACTTCCTCATTAACCCTAAATATAATTAACACTGACTTAATAATAGGTACTAAATAACTTAGAACATAAATGAAAAACTCATGACGAGCAAAGTGGCTCAGGACCATGCTTTGCGGCAGTCTGTGGAGGAGGATGTTCAGTAGTGGACTTGTGAACAGCTGTAATGATGATGATGATTCGAAATTTTGCACGATTAAATTATAAGAAATCGACGTTTTTTTATAGGATAGGGTGACAAACGAGCACACAGTTCACCTGATGGTAAGTTGTTGCTGTGGCCCACAGACATCTACATCTATCCTCGATTACGAATCAAAATGCAGATGCGTTGTCACCCGTGAGGAATAAGATGAAATGCCTCGTTTCCTTTAAATAGGGTCTCTGGTTCTCTACACTCACTATACGAAACACAGCATCATTAAGCTACTATTTTACGCTGATATTCTGTGAGAGCGTGGTCCTTCCCCGGTCGAGCCGACCTTCGTGCTGCAACTATACTTCTAATATAATTGCATGGTTCTACCACGTATAAACGACGTGCTTCATTTTTTTTCATTTTAAAATTGTTCTCGTAATAATCTGATTGTAAAAAAAACGTTAATTTTTTTTTTGATAAATAGCTTATTGATTAAAAAAAATGTTCAATAATAATTAAATCGTGCTAATTAAAGTAGTAGTAATATTTAAAGTTGAAATTGGCACTAAAAGGCTGGTAATTGGGGCATCCACCCTACAAAGCTTGAATATAAAATTTTAATCAGATGCGTGTAATCACTCTGGGAGCTTGTAGCAAACTAAACGCGCGGCCAACGTGTGGACGCGGCGACCAAACTCTGCCAACAATCCTTTGATCTTTTGTAAAAAACCGACACCACACGGATCTCGCACCAACTTGCGGGCCATCGTTCCATTACATACCAATGAAGCCCAAACACCCCGTCTACACGTTGGTCAATGCTATTGGCCACTACATTCGCCACTGTGTTGGCCAACGTGTAGAGGCGCCGTTATAAAGTGGCCCATTTTCAGAATATCGCTAATTTGGTCGATAAAACTTCATCTAAGGCGTCCCTTCCGACTCTGCCATTCACATCTGCAATCTAAATTTGATTTGTCGCTCTTTCCTCTTCATTCTTTCTACATGACCAAACCACCGAAGCATTTCTTTTTTAATCCTGGTCACGACATCATCTTAAACACCACTTCACCACTTTTCTCTTATCACACAATTTCTTACCCTTTCATTCAGATTCAGCCATAACATACTCCTTAAAGAACGCATTTCAACAGCATTTATTCTACTTTCATGCTTCTTCTGCCACACTCAACGTTCACTCCCATACATTATAGTAGAGATTAACACAGTATTATGAATTACCATACGTGTCTTTTTCGACACATTCTGACTTCATAATAGAGTGTAGAGCCCCATTTTCTCTATTTCTTCCATTCCCTCGACGTTCTATATCCTTATGATTTTTTCCGTCCCTGCTAAATACACCTTCCCAGTACACGAACTCATCCACTTGCTCAATCAACTCCCTTCTATTCTTATTTCACATAACGTTTTACTTTCTTCTCTTTCAAAAACCATTACTTTTGTCTTACTTGCGTTCACTTTCATTCCCCTTTCTTTTAATGCCCAGTTCACTAATGTAACCATCATTTGAAACTCGGCCGACGACGATACCAATATGACTTGATCATCGGCGTACAAAAGGCATTTGACGGTTAACTCGCCCATTCTCAACCCACATTTTTCACCTTTCAAAGTTTGCAAACAACTGTCTATAAATACGAGTAGGTTGAACAGCCACGGGGAAACTACACAACCCTGTCTGATGCAAAACCAGTCCAAGTAGACCCCGTGTTGTCAGGGTCATGACACAAGCAGATATAGTACCTATAAAGAGACCTTAATGCCCGTATCAAACTAGCGATCAACCCAAATGAGTTCAGTGTTTGCCATATCACAGTCCTGTCCACTCTGTCATAAGAATTTTTCAAGTCCATGAAAGTACAAAAAGCTTTCTGTTTTATATTAAAATAAAAATATATATTAAAATAAAAATTAAAACATTTAAATTAAAAGTAGTAGGAGCGGGGGGAGGGGGATGGGCGTAATTTTACCATTACCGAGACAGCTTATTAAAGTCTACTATCGAAAGTAGGCCTTCGATTCCATAATAACTGGTATTGGTTTGTCTTTTGATGAAGTTGAATTCTCTCTTTTAAGTATTAGTAGATAACAGAAAATTTAAGAGAGCTATTTAGTTACAGCTTTCGTTACCTGGTTCCAAGTTAACTTCTTAGTCAACTATTGTTAGTTACTATGAATAAAAAATCTCCGTGCTGTGTAATCACCACCATTACAATTTTCTGATTATGGGCGCCAAGGAACGCCACAGAACACGGTTCTGAGCCCCCTGCGTTCATCGATCTCTTGCATGTCTTTCCAGTTGGGGGGTTACCACTTGACGCTGCCACTTGAGAATCTTTCTTCCGCTTCGATTGCCATCCATTAGGCTAGGTCGCTTACTCAGGTTCTACTGCGGAAATCTTAATTACGAATTTTATCACGCAGATGAACTCCAAGCATAGCCCTTTCTATCCAGCTCACTGAATGATTATTTCCTCAATAGGCCAGCAGTTAAGACACACACCAATTTTAGACTCTCGTTTTTAAGTTTTGAAAAATGCGGAATAATAACATATTGCATTACGTTATTTTATCCCTAAAATTTTGCAAGAATAAAATAGATTTTCATGAATAAATGAATGAAAATGAGATGACGTGAATGTTTGTAGCTTGAGAATAAGTGAGAACATTTTGAACATTTAATTTGAGACTTTCAATTCTACTTATGTTAAATAAGAGTAAAATTTTTATTAATTTACATTGGAAAAAACGTTAAATATTAAAAACAAAGAGATTACTGTTAATCGTTAATAAAACGCTAGTATCCATTAAAGGCATTTTGGCAATGCCCTACTTTATTTCCCTATTAACTTGGATTCAATAGATACAATAATGTTTAATATGTATAGTTGTTAAGTTTTATTTTACTAACACAAGAGAAATAGATGAGTAAATCTAGGTGAAGATTTATTTTAGTTTCTATTTATACTAGTAAAATACGACCAATTTCAAGATAACAACTGGCATACTAAATCGTTAGCCTTAGTTTATTCTTAATTATTTATGCACCATGAGCCAACATCTTAATATCCAACGAGAATTATGTCCAACCTAAAATAATGTTTTGTTTAAATATTTGAAAATAAACAAACGGCGGCTTTGCAGTTATATTGTATTCTAAATTTGCTTTCCAGAGAAGCCGCCGGTTTCATATTTAATTAAGTTTAATATAGCATCGTTTAGTTACAATTTTTTATTATCTATCATGATGCGATGAAATATTAATAAGCGCTTACCTTTGGATGTGCTCTTCTCGGAAAGGCCACTTTAGGGTCAATCTGGAATAACAAAAAAAAAATTATAATTAATAACAATTAATAACAAAAAAAATATAATTAAATTAAACTGCGTAGGAATGACATTGATTATAATCAATTACAATAATTCGCAATATTTAAATTTGTAACATGATTATTGTTAACTTATTTATCATTTATGTTTTTTAACATAAAACAGTCACATGATCATATGGTAAATGCACACACCATCTATTTCTAGAACCTTGACTGAAAAATATATCAATTTTAAAATCTTGCACCATAATTATGTCCTACTCTCGTCTTTTTCGTGTAACTGAGCGCCATTATTTCATACGTGGCACTGTTTAAGCCCTCAGATTTTCTCTCGGCAACGAGCGGTCGCTTCGTCTTTTTGTTCACATCACGACGCGCCGCTGACCGTTATAAACACAAAATATAAACCCAAAGAAGATACCTTTGACTTTTCGGTGGTAAAACGTTTCATTTCCACTCGCGTTAGCCGTTTTGTCGTATGGAATAAAAATTGTATAGAGTTTATACGTTCTGCTAAAATTATCCACTTAAAGACAAAAGTTCCATTTCATTTGTTATCAAAACAACTACAATAACTCTTTTCCTAAAATTAAAACTTTTTATACAAGTTTTAGTTTGGATTTGAAAAAGTACAATGGGTTGAAGTATAATGAATGGAATTTAGATCACGAGCTCTTTTTTTTACAAATTAAGATTGATATTATATCAACAATAAGTTTTTAATAAGATGATTAAATTTTAGTCCCTAATAATTAGTCCGCTCACAACAAATATGCATTTCCTAAAAGCGTTATTCTTACTCGTTGATCAGTTAAGTTGGTGAAGACTTGAGTGTTTCGTGCTGGTAACGCTGCTATACAATTACTAGCCCTAAATATTAGGACAATTAGGCGTCAGAGAACACCACTAAGTAAGATTGACATTGGCTCGCATAAACCCTACATGTATAATAATATTGAGTTTACTTACTACCACTACCTAACTGGCAACTCAATGATTTCTTATATTTACGTGAACACCACGCATTGAGTATAACTACTTTTACCCCTTCACCACTTCGAAACTTCGGGTATAAAAAACATGTATTATAATTTGTTTTAAATAATACTATGAACTAGTTTTTAAATACCTTAAAAT